TCCGACACAGCTGAGGTCGAGCAGTCAGCGCGAGGTGGTCGTGGCATCGCTCAAGGGTAACATCGACAGGGGCTTGCCGACCAACGCCTCCAATGTCTTTCAAGGTGCTGGACGTGGTGAGTTTACCGATTTGGCAGGCGACCTGCCTTCGGAGCGCGAGATTGCCGAGAGCCTCGCAGACTTACCAGAGCAACCAGGACCAGGTACAGATTTTCTCCAAGGAGATCGGCGTGAATTTCGTGATGGTGCTCAGGCTGGAGACGACGGTGCACACCTTCATCCACTTCCTCGAGATGTTCCTCCAGATTTGTCTCGAGTACCAGTTCCAGAGGATGATGATGGACTAGGCCGAGATCTTCACCAAAGGGACCAAGTCACGGGTGATCAGGACTGGAAGCCGACCAGGCGGGTCCGGTTGAGGCACAAGGCATCTCCTTGCGACGCGCCTTATGGACCAGAAGCGACGTCGGTGACACCAGAGGAAATCACCAGTGGCCCTGCAGGTGCTCTGACTGGCGATGAAGCCGCGGTAGTTCCCCGAGAGGGTAGCCCGGCAGAGCCTCTTGGGGTGGGACCCGACTCTGCGGACGGGCCAGTCGCAGAGGGTTTCGCGGGAAACCAGGATCCTGCCGGGGAGGCCCCCACTGAAGCAGACGAACGTGACATAGAGGAGCCAGAGGCCGTGCGCATCAAGCTCGGAGAGATGGATTTCATGACGCGCGACTTCGAGGACGAGGTCCAGTACCTGGAGGCCTGGGACAACTTCAACAACCAGTCCGTGGCCTACCTGAAGGACACGACCATCGAGCGCGAAGTGATCGAGGTCGCGACCGATTTCGCTCACATCGGAGCCTTTCTTCAAGACTCTACGGTCTGGCTCTCCAAGGGGCTTGGCGACGGCATGGCGACAGAGGTCACCTACTCCAAGCTGGCGCCAGGGCAGCAGCTCGAGTTCGACGAGGCGATGTGCAAGGAGATCAGCCCGGTCATCGCGACCAAGGTCTTGAAGCGGATCGCTCAGGAGGAGCTTACCGAGATCGACGAGTCGCGGTTGCTCAAGATGCGCTGGGTCCTCACCTACAAGTACCAGGAGATTGGCGCACGCAAGCCGAAGGCTCTTCTAGTCATTCTGGGCTACCAGCACCCGAGTCTGACGGAGCTCTCTACGGCGGCGCCTACGCTGGGGAAGCTGGCTCGCAACATGCTGTTCCAGGTGTGCGCGCAGCGCAAGTTGAAGCTCAAGTTCGGCGACGTCAGCTCAGCTTTCCTCCAGACCGACGCGAGCGAGGAATTCGAGAGTCTGAACGTGAAGGTTCCTGCGGAAGTGGCTCATGCTTTTCCTGATGAGCGGGGGCGTCCTTCGCAGATCTTGAAGATGGTCAAGTCTTTCTATGGATTGACGACAGCTCCGAGAGCATGGTGGCTTGACATATCACGCAAACTTCGTGACCGAGGTTGGCGACAACTACGTACCGACCAGTGCGCGTGGATCTTGCTGGATTCCAACAACCAGCTGAAGGGCATCATCGGCGTCCACGTGGATGACTTCATCATCGGCGGCGACGAGACGTCGAAGCTGTACGGGGACGCGGAGAAGGCCATCAGGGACCTCTACAGATGGGGCGCGTGGACTTCCGGCCAGGCTGAGTTCAGTGGACTACGCGTTCGCCAGTTCAAGGATTTCTCGATCACGCTGGACCTCTACGACTACACGAACAAGTTCATCACGGATTCTGAGATCGACGCCGACCGCAAGAAGCAGGCTCATCTACCACTCGAGCCGAAAGAGATCTCACTCTTTTGTGGAGTATTGGGCACGGCCAGTTGGAGGGCACAGCAAGTGTCCCCACAGTATGCGGTGGACGTTGGGCTTGCCCTGTCTCAACTCAACAACGCCGAGATCAGCGACTTGGTGAATGCCAACAAGCTTGTCAAGGACATGCGTAAATCGGCGTCGCAGGTGATCAAGTTCCACCGGTTCGAGGACTACGATCGGCACGAGTTGTGGATGGTGCAGTGGGCGGATGCTAGTGACAAGCTCAGGCCCGACGGCAGCAAGACTGGTGGGCTGGTGACAGGCCTCTCGACTCCAGATTTTGCGAATGGCAGCATGGCAAGCGTTTCGATACTGGGATGGGGATCCTTCAAGCTACCTCGCAAGATTTCGGGCTCCAACAACAACGAGACGCAGTCGACCGCGTTCGGCAACGAGATGTTGTGGTTATCTCGACTGATGTGGGCAGAATTTCATGGAGTCGAACCGACCCGTTGGAAGTTGGACGACACTGTCAAGACCGTGCCAGGCATGCTCATCACAGATTCACGCGGCATCTACGACGCGATCTTGAAGTCGGAGTCTCCCCAGTTGGGCATGCGCAGCTTCAGATCAGGCGAGGAGGCCAGAGGCATCACGGAGCAGATCTTGCGCACGGACGTTTCTTTTAGATGGGTGAACGGTTTGGCCATGCTAGCAGATAGCCTGACGAAGCCGGGATATCCGGCTCGACATGTGATGGAGGAGTTTTTGGCCACGCAGCGCTGGCAGTGTACGTTTGACGAGATGTCCCAGAGTGGACGTCGGAGGCAGCGCGACGGCAAGGGCGCTTTCGCAGACGCGCCCGAGGAGGCCGACAGTGGCTGTAGGAACGGTTTTTGGGATCCTTTGGAGTCGTTGTGCGACGATTCCCTTCTTTCTGATTCGACCCGCAGCCTAATGCGGTCTCGGTGCATGTAGCTTCAGGACTAAGAAGAGTATAGCCGGTGTTAGCTATCAACAGTCAGTCCTGTGCACTCCCTGCCCGAAGCCTCTCTGTGTTGTGGCTTTGGCTCAAGGGCGGGACACATGCTTTTACATTCGTTTCACGTGGCCCCAGGAGCCACCACCTCTCAGCACGGCTAGCGACGCTGTGACGACTGATACGTGAAATAGTCATCGAGTTGGGTGATAGATTTCTCGTCGGAACTTCCTGGCAATCTACTGCTGCGCCGATTCCGCCAACACCAAGGGCCCCCCAGGGAAGTCCCTTGCGGCCCCCCAAGAGACCTCGGTAAATCGCATTTCCCAGAACTTTCCGGGAACATGATTCCTTGGGCTTCCGCCCATCGCCCCAACCATGTTTCCAATAGGCTTGCCGACAAGGCCAAAAAGAGCCCCTCGATAAACCCCCAGAGCCCACCCTCTTAAGTGAGCCGAACAAATCATGTTCCCGGAAAGCTTCCCGGGAACATGATTCTCGGGTTGCCGCCCTCTCCCCAAACCATGTTTATAAACGCTTGCCAGGATAAAAACGAAAGTCCCAAGCAGCGCTACCTGCCGCCACGCTCGGAAACGCGTCAGGCCCCGAAGCCTCCGGAGGCGCCCAACGACACCCCAACAAATCATGTTCCCAGGAAGTCTTACGGCCGCTGCCGCCGACGTTGAAGGAGGACGGTCCAGAACACCCAAAAATCTTCCAAACAGGCTTCCAAGAGGGCGCCGAGACAGCCCAGGGCCGCCCCCAGACGGCCCAAGAAAGCGCCAACACACACGAAAAGGGCCGCAAGAGGCCCCCACGAACACGCCCAAGTTGGCTTCTGGACAGCCCACAAGGCTTCCAACACGGCCCAAAGGGACGCCAAAATCATTGATTGTCCTCAGGTTTTTGATGGATTTCAGACACCCAATGTCGCCCCAACAGGCCCCCACGAGGGCGCCGAGACGGCCCAGGGATGCCCTGCCGCGGGCACGAGGCGGGGCCCGGGACGAAGTAACTGTTGTTACGAGTAAATGATGTGATTCATGTATTTTGCACCACCGCGGCACATTGAGCACAAATGCTACACGTACGGATAGCCATGAGTGACGAAGAGAAAATCACGGCCACAAGATCCCTGGATCGTCACTCCCAAAACTTAAATGTTCGTTAAAGTCTCCTGAGCTATCTGACAAAATCGTAGAGCACGCTGACAGCACACGAGGGAGAGAGGAAGGAGGAAGAGAGGAAACAGGAAAGGGGACAACTGCAGGGCGGGGCTGCCCGCCTGGTCGTCATTCACGAGCAGCTGCATGCTCAGCGTATTCTCAAGGCTTGGACTTCCCAGCCTTGTCCTCTCCCATGCTCACGCCGAGCTTGCAGGACGGCAGCGGTGCCGTCTCAAAACCATCTTCGATGGAATTCGAGAATTCATGAATCAAAATAGACCGGAGGCGATTGTACAGCTCCGGGTGACACTCGAGCTTGCTGCGAGACTCCTGCAGAATCTCTCCGATGATGACCTCCTGCTCGGAGGATAAAGCTAAACGACGAGACGTCCAACCTGACGCCGTCACATGCTGAAACCCATGACTGTCAGGGCTGTCCTTTTCCTGCCTCTTGACCTGCTCCAAAGCCTCCTCTGCTGTAGTAGTGGGCTCCTCATAGTCATGAGCGGCCCATACCTTCAGCGCTTCAATGGCAATAGAAGCAGCAGGAGGAGCACCCGCAAACTCACTGTCGTCTCCTGATGCGATGAAGTTGGTGAAACGGTTCTCCAGATCGACCAGTATAATCTCGGCCGCATCGATGATAGCTGCGGGCCCGGTGATCTGCACACGCTTGGTCGTCAGAGTGTAGGTCAGGCCGATCTTCTGATTGTCGTACTTGGAACCCAGCAAGACACTCGCATTGACCTTGGCCTTGGTGGATGACTTGTTGTGGACTACTGCCCCAGCGGTGGACGCATAACCTAAAGTGTTCAAAAACGTGCGACACGTGTCGTGATCACCAGTAACCATGAAGTGCACCATCTCTGAGCACCGTGTGGAAGGTCGTACACGAGGTGCCTCAAAAAGAAATGCTTGAGCCACAAGCTACATAGGAGACGTGCTTGGCATCGGTGTTGGTTGCCCCCATATAGAGTAGACGCACTCGTCGCAACCCCTTTTTCCACCAACAGGCCAAAACGCACATGTGGGTATCTTTGAAACACGAGAACAAAAACTACACACGATTGAAAACAGCTCAGTCCCCTCTGCGGTGATGTCACTTCTTGATGACCTTCCTCTGCTCCCGCTCCGTCTTGGCCAACTCCAGCATGAGACTCTCCTCGGAGATCTGGTAGCATCCGGTCCTGATGACACCCCTGAGCAAGTCACAAGTCTCAGCAGTGTCTTTCGTCAACCCGTCCGCCAGCTGGCGGTCGGTGGGTGCCCACCTCAGTGTTGTTGTGGATCGAGCCAAACCTTCTCGAACGATGACCATGTCCACGGCAACTCTGCGATCTCCGACTGTGGATGGCGATGAAGCGCCAGTGATGTGGTCATACACGCTCTTGCAGTCGGTCACTGCGAGGCAGGGATGTCGACCTAGCCAGCGCTCACGCGACTTGATGTCAAAGTCCCCGTAGAGGGCCTCGGCCAGATGGCACAACAACCATTCGAGGTGACCAATGCCATCAGACAGAGCCTGTGTCTCACCTGCCAAGGTAGACCCCACCACGCGTTTAAGACGGTACGATCGCCAGGCTGCCGGACTCCAGGGTGACTTCTTGCCCTCCGCCATCTCGCGAGTCGTGAAGGCCAAAATGTACCCAGCCTGAGTGCCGTTCTTGGCAGCGTTCAGGAAGGACGCGTCACTGTGCACGATGATACACAGCTCCTGATGTGGGATGCTCTTCACGGTTAGCATCATATCCTTATGTTGAAGTAGCCGTCGTGCAAGTGCATTGGTCCGTCTGATTTGACCCACAGTCGGTCGAGGCAGCACTTGTTGTCCCTGAGAGACCTGCACACTGGTGTCTGGTCGTGTCTGACTGCAGAGCCAGCCTCCTTGACCAAGTAAGCGTCGAAGTCCTGCAACTTCCGCTTCAGTAGCTGGTTCATGGTCCGCGACCCGTCGTCGAACTGTCACTGGCTTGAGCTCCTGGTAAGGCGTGGTCTGGCGGATGGAGATGTCAAACGTCTTCGGATCCTGGTGGAGAACACTGCCACAGTACTCACCCTCACCGACAGCCCACTTTCGGAAAAGGAGCTTCCCCTTCAATCTCCGCACCGCCTCATGAAAATAAACACCTTCACCCGCGATCAACGCATCGTCAACATGGACCACAAGAATACCACAAAGCTTACACTGAGCATCACGAAGGAGAAAGAGGCAGGGCTCCAAGCGTGACTTCGTCCACGGTCTGCCCTCGTGAGCCGTCTGATCTGTAAGCCAACCTGATGTCTTCGAGTACCAGCGGCAAGGAGCGTCATCCAAACCATGCAGAGGTAGCACAAGCTCCACCACCTGATCAGGATGAAGACCAGGAAGGCCGCCAGGTGGTTGCTTCGCGTAGAGTGGTCCATCTGGTCGTTGTAGTGGGTCGCTCTCCATGAATGCGCCCCGGATGTCTCCGATCTGAAGTCGCCATTGATGTGATGCAGCCAGCTGAAGTGTCAGCATGCGAGCGTTCTGCGATACCGTAGGTGCGGCCGTCTGGTTCCAGTAGACGAGCTTGAGAGCGTCCGGGTCCTTGAAACCTCTGGCAACCCAGCGGGCCTTTACCAACTCCTTGCCGTCGGGGTCGTGCTTGATGGTCAGGATGAAACGTGTGTCAACGAGCCGATCGGGTCGGGTACGCTTGATCTCACCTGACTCCTTCAAGCTGCACACACGTACGGCATGCTTCTCCTGGTCCACGGTCTGCCACTCTGTCATCTTGGCGTTCAGGATCTCCTCGATGAGGTCGGGGCGGAGCTTCTATCGCCCCCGTGACTCATCCCTCAACCCCCCAACCCCCCGGCCGGATTTCTTTTCTTCTTTCCGCGGGGGGTCAACCTTCGCGGCGACCCGTTAAACCCGGGACCCCTGGCGGCGCATGGATTTTTTTCCTTCTTCCCCGCGCGCGTTGCCGTTGGAACCCCTGAACCCCTCCGACTACCGTACAACTCGTACTTGAGTACAACTGGTACTATCATGTCCTGTCGCGCAGTTGTTCCTAGAGGGCACGTTGTCCTGCCGTGCAAATATTCGAGTGCAGCTGGTATCATATTACAGCTGGTAAAATTGTGCCCCCTAGAACAACGCCATATATACTGCGTTTCCAATATACAACGCCTAGAAAATTGAGTTTCCAATATATTGCGTTTCCAATATACTGGGTTCCCAATATATAAGCCCGAACCCGAACCCAAACCTCACCGGCTGTAATTCAGTTGTTCCCGTACTAATACAAATCCCTAGTGCAACCGCGATTAAGGTGTTGTTGCATTGCACTTACAGTCTCGGCTCTCACGCTTTTCTTCCTCTGGTTGCGCTTGGGGGGGTGGGACCCCTCGCGCGGGCACCCCCGCGGCTGGGAGTTCATTCCTCTTCCGGAATTTGAGGGGGGGGTAACCCCCGTGCTCGAACCCCATCGCCAGGGTTTTTTCTTTCCTCCGCGGAAACCGGACCCCCTGGGTTCTTCGGCGCGCCCCATTTTTTTTTTTCTTTCCGGTTGGGCCTCCATGGGTCTTAGGTTGGAGTCACCCGGGTGATGACCTTCTCGGTGATCTCCTTGCGGCCCTTCGCCAGCAATGCCTCGTAGCAGGGCTCGCCGGTGCGCGCCATGGAGGTCAGGCAGACATCAGCAGGGATGATCACGTCCTGATCCTCCGTCTCAGCCTCTGCCACTAGCTCGTCGTGCTCTGGATCGGAGTCCAGGAGCGCCTGCCGAGCATCAGCTGGCCGAGTCGGAGGTTCCTCGACGGCAGGCTGCACAGCAATGGTGATAGTTTGACCAGATGTCGCCGATGATGTGAGACCCTCAGTCGGGACTGCTGTCTTCTCCCTCAGGCGTTTCAAGGGCTTACCCTCGATGTCGAACACGCGTCGGGCGACTAGGCTCGGATCCTGCAGCACGTCGATCTTTCTCTTGGCGGCTTGGTCCACCTCGAAGCCGGTGTCCCCAGGAGCTGGAGCCAACACATTGTCAGTCGATCCAGCGTCAGGTAGGGGTCGGTCCTCAGATAGAGCGGGCCCCGGAGGTAGAGCAGGCCCAGCACCGACAGGCAGAGGTGCCGGCACCACGATGATACGACCGTCGCCAGATGGAGCCGGTGCCTGTCCTTGATTCTCAGCAGGCAGATCCACGTAGACCGAGTTGCCTTGCTTTCCTTTGAATTTCTCTTGAGCAGCCCTGAACTCTTGACGCACATGCCAGTCTGCCCACTCCTCCTCGCGGGTAGCATGTCGAAGGTGTTCGGGAGCTGCTCGAATCAGGGCACCTGCGTGTGATAACCAATAGTGACCATTTTCCTCGCCAAGGACCGTAGCCCTCCCATGCCAACGTGCATTATTCTTGCCGTCTTTCTGCCGGCCCTTGCCTCGACCTCGCCGCCAGTAGGCTACCCGATCACCTGCTCGAAACTCTCGGAGGGGACGAGGTCGAGCGTCCAGAGCTGTTCTCATGGCCTCATCGTCACTGTACATCAGGACAGCCATGCGGGCGGCAGTCCGAACAGCCGTGGCCCGCTGGTAGACGTCGCTGTGCAGTGCCAAGCTGTTCGCAACGATGTCAGGTGAATCCTTGAGAAGGTCGGCCGGGAGTCCGGGAGAGGAGGATCACGTCCAAGCACATGTTGCTATGGACTGTGCCCATGCTTCCTCAAGAGGCGGTTCTTCTGATCACAGACTGTACTGACGTATTGCTCCCACTCCTGATGGTTCTTCGGCTGGACTGTCTCGATCACCTTGCTCAGTATGTTGGCGAACCACGAGCCATGTCTTTCAGCCTTTCCGAGTAACCAGTGAGCTTCTCCTGGAATGACGTCGAAGTCCACTCCGTCGCACTCCAGCACCTCGGACATGATGGCACCGGTATTGGCCCGGGCCGAGTCACACTTGGCCCTGACCGGTGCTCCGTACGGCCTTCGCCAGCCCACGTCCCAGGCCTTCCTGAGAGTCTCACCGTTCTCCTCATTACCCGCCAGCGGCATCATCTGTTGGAGAGAGCTGGCACCGTCCACGACGTTCAGAGCGGCCCAAGTCTTCCCAGAGATGTAGTACAGCAGCTCCTTGACGTCGAAGCCTACCTCGGACAACGCCTGAATGTCTCTGGGAACCGTCGCTGGCCGTGACAACTTGGGAGCTCGGTTCTGTTCACATACGTCACACTTGAAATCCCGCGCGATGGCGATGGCCTCGTCAGTCGCGTTACCATGCTTGAGGATGCGGATCAGGTCCCCGACTGCAGGATGGCCAAGATTGACATGGATCTTGCGGACCGCCGTTTCCAGCTTCCGTCGTCGATCTCGAGCTTCAGCTTGGGACTCTGGCGGCTCCTCCACGTCCTGATCAGCCTTCTTGCGCCTCTTGGACGCGGCAAACACTTCCGTCATGAGAGATTCGTGGGTGGGGACCTCGACCAAACCCTGCCAGAGCACGGCCCTCGCCTGCAGCGACTCCTCGACCTCCACCTCGGAAACCAGAGCTGACGTCCCCCTGGACATCCCACTCACGATGGCCCTAATCAGTGCGGGGGGATAGCGCTGAGAAGCTGCGCTCCGTCGTTCACCTCCAGCTCCTCCTTGAATCGTCCCGCGGCGATGGTCGCCTGGGCAGCGTCGAGACAGAGCCTGAGCCAACACCGGACTCGAAGTGATGAACCTGAAGGCCTTGCGATAGGGCTTGCCACTGATCGCGTCATGATAACCATATTGACAACCGTGGCCAACTGCCTCATACGCCCGGTCCTGGCGCCTTAGTCTGATCATCGCAGGTTCGTTCCACGACTGAGCCGACTGTGGCTGCTCGATATAGAAGTGACGGTCGTGAGCCAGTTGGTACTCGGCAACCTGAACGCACAGTCGAAGTAGGAGCCGAGCGCTTGCCAAACGTCGCTGATATTCGGGAGTATCCCTCTGCTTATTCATGTACTGCAGGATGCTAAACAACGTACAGGGTGGCGACATGCCAACCCACTCAGGTTGATCTTCAGCCAGTTGTCGCCACATTTCTCGACGGTGATCTGCGCGCAGGAGGTCCCAGCCGGTGGTCGGGTCCAGGGCCTTTGCTGGGCCCAGACCCTTGAGCTCGGCCTTCGGACCCACTCGCTCAGGGCTGAACAACGCGAAGAGTCCCGCAAGCCGCAGCTGCGCGGTGACCGTGGCGATGTCCTTCACCAATCGTCGTCGCTGTCGGCGGGTGAGCTCGCCAGTGGCATCACCCGATGGAGGATAGGCCTCCGCGAGCTCGTCGATCAGGTCCTCGGAGATACCAGCGTCATCCTCAGCATCGGCAGTAGACTCGACACGGGGCTCGATGCGCTCCTGCCGGTCAGCTGGCATCAGGTCGAGATCCGCTGGTGCTATCGTCGCCAGGCACCGATCATGGTTGTTGCCGATAATGATGCGAGCAGCATCCTCAGCTTCCCTTGGAAGTGTAGGTGGTGGACCTCCAGCCCTGTCGCACATGGTCATGTCCTCGATGTTGCCTGCCGACCCCTCGGGAGCGGGGATCACGTTTGGCTGCTCCTCCGTAGCGGCGACCGTCATGTAGATAGTGACCTCGGGGTCGCTGATCATCGGGCCCAGGTTGTCACGGAAACCCTTGGGGTCAAACTTGGTCAGGGAAAGAACGTAGTGGCCACCAGCACCTGTGGGAAGTGTACACTCCGGCAGATCGGCAATGGCAACTGTGTCCCTGGTGGTGTTAATCTGGGACTTCATGGCCTTGATCTGCTGTTTGGACACGAGGAAAGGCGCCGAACCTGGCACCAAAGACCACTTCGTGACCGCGTTCCTGCCCAGGATCCCACTCGGCAGTAGCACCTCGCCCACCGACGACTGGCTGCCATCGTTGCCGAAGCGGAAGGATACCTGCGGGGCATTGGGTAGAAGTATTGGCTGTAGTCCATGATCCCGTCGGAGTCGTCGGCAGTGCTGCTCGAAGGTCTCCGCGCCCACCGTGCCCTTGGCGCATCCAAGGTCAAGGCCCGCATGGCCTGGCGTCGAAGAGAGAAAAACATCCTTTTTGATCTCAGGGCTCCGATCCGGCCCTAGTGAAACGGGTCTTCTGGATCGTCGCACTGAGATTCTCGTCGAACGTCATGCTCCCGATGGGCTTGATGGGCGTCGGTACGTTATAGAAACATTATGTGAAAAACTGACTCTTCACCGATTCGGTAGAGCTCGCACCTGCCGTGGATTTGCGAGGCTCCTTGCAGTTCTTCTGAGAGTGGCCGATATTTTTACACTTGTGGCACCTTACTCTTGGACGATACGCCTCTAGGTTCGGTTTCACGAAACCTCGACCCCACTTGACCTTCCCGTGTAGCTTCCGCTGCTCTTTCCATGAGATCAAGGCGTCGATGAGATCCCGCTCATCAACAGGTGGGTCGGCATCATCATGTACTCCGTGGTCGGCCAAAAGTGCGTCGCACTCCGGGTCGCCGTCGTCATCGTCGATAGTCTCGTCGCCGTCGAGCTCCTGCTCAGCCACGAAGGCCTTGTGGTGACTCCGACCGCCCATGGCCATCTTCCCAAGGCCTGCCCGATACGTGGCCCTCAGAGCTCTAGCGACGTCGGGCTCCCGCCAGGAGCCGTGGGCTGCGGCCATGACGACCGCCTCCTTCTCGGAGTCCAGTTGGCAACCCTCGAGAAGCATGATGCCGCGCGCGATCTATGGCAAGACAATGCCGTCGCGCTCGGCATCAGCGAAGATGGCCCTGGCTCGGGCAGTGCATGCGTTGGCCTCTTCATGCTTGTGGGTCTTGAGCCTCAGACAGGCACGCATCCCCTCGCCGAGCCGGTCTGAGGCTGGGAGGTCGGGGTACCTGTCGTCAAGGATGGCGAAGATCATCATCTCCGCCAGCCTGCTCGATGAGGTCGTCCTCGGCGTCCTCGATGGCCCTGAAGGCCGCCCCCGTCAGGAGAGTGACCAGTGCTGAGCCTCGAGCATCCTCATTGATATTCTTGGACTTGATCCATGCTCTCGCCCACTTCCTCCATGCCTTGTACTCGGTGGGCTTGTCACCCGAGAACCTCCTGACGGCGCCATTCTGATTGTCGGAGTCGGCCATACCGACGAAGAGAGTTGCAGAACTCCGCGCTCTGCTGGTAGTTGTAGATCAACGGCGTCACCACTCCGATGAGAAAGAAACCGATATGCACACCTCGTGCACAGAAAGAGAAAACACGCTTCGCTCTACCAATGTCGAAGTAACTGTTGTTACGAGTAAATGATGTGACTCATGTATTTTGCACCACCGCGGCACATTGAGCACAAATGCTACACGTACGGATAGCCAGGAGTGATGAAGAGAAAATCACGGCCACTTGATCCCTGGATCGTCACCGGGCGCCCTGCCGCGGCGCTGGGGGCCTTGTAAATTCGCCCGAAGACGGCCCTAGCGTTTCCAGACAACGAAAACGACCAATGACCGCCCGAGATCACTCCAGAATTGGTCCCTGACTGTCCAAGAGGCCTCCAAGACGCCACAAGAGGTCTCCAAGATGGCTCCCAAGGAGCCCCAGGAGGCACAACTAATTTGTTTCTTGATCGATTTTCGAGTTCTCGCCTTTTTAGTTTCCTGACGCTCCACGACGGCCCAAGAGGCTTTAATTTCCGCTCCAAGGCATCCCTAGAGGCCTCGAAGCCAGTCACAAGACAGCCCACGGAGGTCCCAAGACGACGCCAGAGGCGCGCAAGGCGGCCCGAGAGGGCCCCAAGACGGCCCCAAGATGGAGCCAAGAGGGTTGACACGAACCGGAATTCCAAGTCTTCCACCCTGAGAGGCTCTCAGGAGGCCCCGAGAAGCCCAGAATAGGCTCCAAGAGGCCCCAAGAAGCCCCCCAGGGGGCCGAAGAGTATCCGAGAGGCCTCCCACGAAGGCCCCACGAGGCAAACATCCATGTCTTGCCATAGGTTTTTGATTGATGTTAGAGTTTTCAGCCTTTGGGCGCCATGACGCTCCAAGACGGCCCAAAAGGCCTCCAAGACCAATCCAAGATAACCCAAGAGGCCTCCAACAGGGCCCAAGACAGCCCTGTCCCTAATTGGCTTTCCCTCGCCAATGAGTGAATCCCTGGATAGCTCTCTATCCGGATCCAAAGGTCTAGAGTCAGGGTCCCTTTTCAAGTAATGCTCTGGGGGGGCCCCATGTATGTTTCTCTTCCGTAGCCCGTGCTGGCCTCAGTGTGTCATATGCGCGTATTGTGCGCTCTCTCTGACTGTGCTGATAAATCACGACTCGTAATCGTCACGTCTCGATATAATTTGCTGGCTCTTGCCTCGTTCCCGTCGAATGCCCGCGGACGATGAGACAGCTAACAGTGGTAAGTGGATCAGTGGTGGGACAGGCGTTGACGACGGAGCGAGATCGTTTAGCACGAGAGAGGGAGACGCAGGCCAACAAGACACGACAGGTGGGAACGCCAGAAATAATCAGTGTGTGGGTACTGACGACTATGGCTGGTGGTGGTCGTGGGAGGAGTGGAACGGGGGCAAGTCTGGTTGGTGGGATACTTCCAAGACGGATTGGCTTGGCATGGACAATGTAGAATTGTATAAGGCCAATGTTGAGGCCTGGTCGAACCGCACGGCAGTCAAAGCAGAGCAGAGAGCAAAAAGGGTTTTGGAAACGCTTCCAGTAGATATTCAAGTAACATTCAAAATGGTGAGACACGAGATGTCACTCGATGATGGATAGAGCCGTTTGTTGTATCCTCTTAGTATTCTAAATGGAGGACGTCCGGGTGGCAAAGAAAGGGGGGCCCATAACAAAGCATCGTTTGATTATTGGATTCATAGAGGAGAAACGATAACATATTTCATTGTACGCCGGGATGCGCAGTTGACAGAAGCGGAAAGATTTGGATTTGTTCTTCCCGACAATGTCAAATCAAGATATTCCGAGGAAGGAGCAATGTTGACCCCGCAAAATAAAGTCAATATGAGAACGATGGCAAATGGGCATACCGACAGCTGTTCAATCAGAAAGGCGCTTTTGTTGTTAGACGTGAAGGAGAAAGCGATCCTGCCCGGAGGACCAGCCACTGCGGCTAAGACTTTCGCGGCTGGAGAAGCAACTGAGGGCGGAGATCAAGATTGGCAGGGCGTGGGATGGGAAACCTACGTGGAGTACGATGATGTGGACCTACCCGGGGACGAAGTGACACAAGTGTTGGCGGCCTTTGATCAGCAGGACTTGGAGGAGTCAGAAATTATACAAGTTTTCTCAGCCATACTTGGTGAAAAGATCAGCACGCGCAAGAAGAGGACGTGGCAGGAGTCGAGAAAGATAAAACAAGCGAGAAAAGTGGGCAGATAATTCTTCGACAGGAATGATGCGCCTCCTCCTCCAAAATCGGGTTTTAGACGAATTCCGATCAAAGAGTTGAAGAAGAGATCAGAATGTGCGAACTGTTGACAAAAGGGACATTGGGAAGATGAGTGGAAGAATCCGTGTAAGCCACGTCAGGACGACCGAAAAACCAGGGAGACTCAGAAGGGATACTATTTCGAGCTAGCTTCCTCCTCGGCTGACAATCACAATACTTGGGCATCGATTGAAGACATTGTTTCAGATCAGTTGAAAGAGATTCGAAGCAGCGAATGGTTCACGGGATTATCGTCTTCAAACATGTCAGATCACGCTCTTGTGGACACAGCTGCGGGTCAAGCTCGCATCGGGAAGCCCGACGTGCAGAGACTGGCCGAGGCGATGAAGGAAAAGGGTATCAAGTTCAGATCCAGTGGGAGAATCAGTCGACCCCAGCTTCGGGGATTGGAGGTAAGGTGAACCCGATAGGCAAAGCTTTCGTTCCAGTGAGCATTTGGGTCTGTGGAGTAGTTGAATTTCTGATCCTTCCTCACCAGTGCCCTCCGCTCTTACCAGCCCGCTTCCTCGAATTTCTAAAGGCGGTGATTGATTTTAGCAATGATTGTATGAGGGTAGGTGACGAGGGCCAGGAAGTGCCTATGCACCGCCGCGCTGGCGGGCATCGCTCAGTCTCGCTAATCCAGCGCCCGGTGGAGCACTTCGCTCTCGACGACGAGGTGCTCTCGAGGCTGCCCGGCCCCGTCGTTCGGGGCGCCAGGGGCTGGGCGGGTAGTTGTAGGGCAGTATGGGGAAGGGACAGCGGTGCACAGTGTAAATAGCAAAGAAAAGGAGGACAGGAAAGCAGCAGGTGAAGAGGAGGAAGTACAGGAGGACAAAGCTGAGGAAAGAGGAAAGCCCCCGCTAAAGTCGGAAGTAGGAGGAAGCCGGCCTAGGACCGTGCAGGAACCAGAAAGCCAGGACCCAGGAGCTGAGAAGATCAGGGCCCCCGTCGAGTCCTCAGAGTGTAGACCGATCTACGAATCCCGTCACGATGGCAGCTCTCCGGAACCATTTTCTTGTTCAAGACAGGTGAGGCACTCATCCTTTTTCCATTGAGACCGAGGGCAGTGCGAGAGACTGTGGTGATGGTCAAGGCAAAGATCATCAAGGTGCCTCGAGAGGACGAGAGCTCGTCGCGCCTGCTCAGCATGAAGAAGAAGCTCAAGAAGACCCTGGAGAGCCCAGTGGACGAGACCGACGACGAGGAGATGACGCCCGGCTCGTCTTCGCAGGTGCTGGAGGAACCAATCGACTTCACCTTCGAAACGATGGATCAGGAGGACCTCAGCATGCTTCTCTCAGGGGAGCTGGTCTTCACCAAAGGTCACCAGGCGTGGCGCAGGTTCGCTTTGAAGATCATCAAGTTCATGACGCAGGTGAGTATCAACCTCGCCATGGCCATAGCGGTGCCGCTGGGGTATCAGAAGAAGGACGATCCGTTGAATTGCAGTCATCCAGCTTGCCTTCGTCGTCCCGGATCCAACTCGACGAGCGCGTGCGTGCACTGCACGGGCTGCGACCTCCGCCTGGTTGCGCGACAAGACCCCGGAGGAGATCCAGGAGGCGGCGAACCGCAAGTGGCTCGAGGAGCAGAGGCAGGCCAGGAGGATGGCCAAGCGCGTCAAGGACGAGATGCCCTACGAGCCGCCGACCTCGCACATCAACCTGGGAAGCGCGCAGGGATCGGGCGGAGCAGCGAAGACGGAGCCGCAACCACCGCCCGGACTTCGCTCCAAGGCGGGGCCATCGGCACTGTCAGCGGTCAAGTCGCATCCCCCCACGCGCATCCTCAAGAGCGACGGCGCGCTCGAGATCGAGGTGAAGGCTCCTCCGGCCAAACCTCCTCCGACCGCGAGGCCTCCAGTGCAGGTGGGGGCACGCGCAAGAGCGGCGCCAACTCCCAGATTGAGGGCTCCGACTCTGGAGGGAGATCCGTGGCGCTCGAACGCCGACCAGGCGATCACCAGGCGCGAGTTCCAGAGCGAGATGCAGAACATGATGAGGAACGTGAACGAGGCCATCCAGAACGACATCAATCAGATGGCAGGTGCGGCCTGGATCATCCCAGAGGGCGCCCAGAACCAGGACGACTTCAGTGGGTAGAGCGATCCTCTGAGGCGCTCCAGAGATCCACAGTCTTTCCTGCGTGGCAGCTGCCGCCGCGTGCGAGAGAGACCGCAATGTCTCTTCTGGCTCATCCTGATAACCTGAAGTGGGCCTCTGCGAGGCCAATGAGGGTAGGATTGCGGAGGAAAAGAAAGCAGACGGCTGAAATATTCAGTTTGGGCCCCGTGATCCATAAGGTCTCCGGGAAAGAGCCACTCCGGAGGAGATATCTCGAGCCGCCGGATGGTCCTCCAGGATCCTGAAAGACAAAGAAAAGCAGGCGTTCTGGATTGGGGCATCCCTGGGCAAAGTCAGAGCGACGCTGTTTCCGGGAACAGTTCCCGAAAGCATTCGAAGGATCAGGATAAGGAAAGCCGACGGAAAAGTGTTCGACAGGATCTGGGACCCCCCCCTGCTCACTGAAGTGGCCCAAGAGGGCCTGAGGAAAGAGGGCGAGGTAGAGGTGTGGGAGGAAAGACAGGAGGAGGAACCAGGAGCAAGACAGGAGGAAAGCGCAGCGAAGCCAGACGACTCTGAGGAGCCACACTTAGGTGAAAGCTTGATTGAGGTCGAAGAAGATTTGTTCTCAGCCCTGGCTGCCGACGTCGATCGTCGATCTGCCACTTTACCTAGGCGCGGAAGGGAAGAGGCCCTTAAGCTTTTACAAGGAAGAGGAGTGAGGGCTTCGAGGAGAAAAGTGTCCGTCTCGGTTCGCCAAGGTTTAGGAAAGAAAGGCTCGGCTGCTTTCTTAGAGATATTCTCGGTGCCCAGGGTCACCTCAGAGCTGTCCTAGAGAAAGCAAAGGGTCTGTCAAGCCATGGACCTCCTCACGGGCTTCGATCTGTTGTCCGAGTCCGGGGAAAGGGCGCTCTGGAAAGTCCTAGAGGAGGAAGCTCCCGAGTTCGCCATGATGTCGCCGTTTTGCAAAGCCTTTAGCCAAGCTAGAAGAGCAGTATGGCATCACATGGATGAGGGTAAAGTTGATGAGGAGGAGGAGAAGGGTCTCAGAGCTTTCTTGCTGCGCGCACGCGTTGCTGAATACCAGGCTCAGCGAGGGAGATTCTTCATGATCGAGCATCCTTTGACTTCCCTCGCTTGGGGGGCCAAGGCGGCCGACGTCATCTTCTCTCTTCCTGGGGTAGAGACCGTAGAGTGCGATCAGTGTCAGTTCGGGCTCGGCGTCAGTGAGGATGGAATGTCGAAGAAACCCACTCGCTTCGCTTCGAACAGTGTCGAAGCTTTGAGACGGTGCCAGAGAGAGTGCTCGGGTGGTCACAAGCACATTCAATGGGTGGGAGGGGCCAGGACTCACGCTTCTGAGAAGTATCCCGATGCTCTCGCCGAGGCGATCGCTGACGGAGTCGAGGGCGCTCTGAGGCGAGCGCTGCTGCGAGGCTCTCAGTTTGCCGCCCCAGTTGAGCGCGGCACTTTTGCCAGTGACGTCTAGCACGAGCCAGAGCCTAGCGAGGAGCGCGGTTGCCTTCGCAGCTGGCCAGATCTCGGTGCCGAAGCCGGTGGGGATGAGAGAGTGGAAACCGAGGAAGTAAGCCAGAAAACAGACCCAGAGGAGAAAGCTGAGGAGGGAAGAGTCGCTAAGGAGGCCAAAGATCAGCTACCTCAACTTCACGTCAACTTAGGTCATCCGCTTCTTGGAGATTTTCTTCGGGCTCTTCGAGTTTCCAGAGTGCGTCCTAATATCATCAAGTGGACCCGGGAGAATTGCAGGTGCGAAGATTGTGATTCACAGAAGAGACTTAGCTGGAGAAGAACAGCTCACTTGCCGCGCACCTTTCATTTTAATCGCTGGATCGCCGTAGACCTCGTGTACAGGAATCTCCAGGGTCAGAGCGCTCCGATTTTGAACATCATTGACCACGGGACTAGCTTCCAGGTCGCGACGGTTCTGAAGCAGCCCACGGCCCACGAGGCCTGGTCTGGTTTTTCGAGAACTTGGTTGAGGTATTTCGGACCACCGGAGATTCTGATGTCGGATGGAGGACCGGAGTTTGCCGGTCTTTTTGACAATCTTGCGAGCATCGCGGCATCTTCCGGCACATCTGTGATGCCAGTTCTCCGCGCCAGAACGGGCGCGCAGAGAGGCATGGTGGCTGGCTGAAGAGCATGCTTCACAAGGCGGCGGCCGAAGTTCCCCCGAGGAATACCGAGGAGTTGGAGGATCTCTTGGGAGAAGTTCTTGGGGCCAAGAATCGTCATTTTCATCGTGGCGGGTTTTCGCCTTATCAGTTGGTGCTGATCTGGCGCCCAGCTCTGCCGATCAAGATACCGCCGCTGCGTCTTTTGCTAGGGGGGACAAGGTGCGAGAGGCTGCTCGGAGAGCGGCTTTTACCATTGAAGTTCAGAGTCGAGTTGACGAGGCTCGAAAAGCCCGGCGACACGCGCACAAACATTTCAGTCCAGGTCAATGGGTCTATGTTTGGAGAAAGACCGCCCCACAGACTCGCACCGTCTTACTTCAGACAGATCGATGGGTGGGACCTGGGGCAGTCGTTTGGCAGCAAGGGGGTACTGTATGGGTAGCTATGAGGTCAAAGCTTTGGAAATGCTTTCAGGAACAAGTACGGTCGGCCACCCGGCACGAGTCCTTAGGCGCAGAGCTCCTTAGCGATCCTAGCTTTGACCACCTGAGGGAAGATCTAAGGCGACCGAATGAATTTGCTGAGCTTGAAGTTGTCTTCTCCACTGCTCGCGCAAACATCCCGCCCACCCACCCGCAACTTGGTTTGCAAAAGCCTGTTAAGACCGACTACGACGACACCGACGACAACGACTAGGACGACACCGACGACGTCTCCGACGACTTCGACGACGACAGCGACGCCGACGACGACGAAGACGACGACGACGACGCCAACGAAGGCGACGACGAGAAAGGGGGAAGGACGACGACGGCGACAACGACGACAACGACGAAGGAGGAGGGAGGACGGTGACGACGCGAACGACGACGAAGGAGGAAGGGCGGCGACGCCGACGACGACAACGACGAGGGAGGAGGGAAGACGACGACGACAACGACGACGACGACGGCGACGACATAGGAGGGACGACGATGAGACGCCGACGACGGACGATGACGACGACGCGGGAGGAGGAGGAAGGACGACCACGGCGACAACGACGATGGAAACGACCACGACGCCAAAAAGGACGACGACGACAAACATGAGAAAAGACAGAGGACGACGTAGGCGACGACGACGACGACGCGGGAGGAGGGAGGACGGCGACGACGACGACGACGACGCAAGAGCGCGCGCGCACGCTTTTGTTGAAAATCCGTGTTGCGAAACCTTGGGTTCTTGTAGGTTTTTTGGACGCGCGATTTTGAAATCCTTCCGAAACCGATGGGTTTCGAAGGTTTTCGGCATACGTCCGCGACGACGCGCGCGTCTGCACTTCGCCCCGTTTTTTTGCAGAGGATTCTCGCGACGGCACACGCGCAAGGGCGTTCGACAGATTTCGACGTGCGCGCGCGCGAAGCCCGTTTGAACAACTCGAAAAAAAAAGCTCATAGTTTTCTGAAGATTTCGCAAGAGCTCGCGCGGAAGCTTGTTTAGCAAACCAGCGTTGCGAAACCATTTTTTTTTTCGGAAACTCGATTGCGAAATCCTTCCGGCACCGAAGGTTTTTGAAGGATTTCGGCACGCGGCCGCGACGACGCGCGCGCGTGCACTTCGTCCAGTTTTTTGCAAGGGATTCGTGAAAAAAAGTGATATGTTAGAAAGAAAAATGCCCCCGCATAGTGTTATTTGACAGGGGGCCGCAGGGGGGGGGGCCCGGCTTGGCTGGGATGGTATGAATTCATATTTAGGATGGACATGTGGTCAGAATCATATATGATTTACAGCACGCGCGGGGGAACCGATAAGTCCGGGGGGGGGGTCGAATCTATTAGTTTTTTAGAAAGGAGAATAAAGGGGAATCAAAGAGTTGGAGCCGTCGATGTCGAAGCAGAAGGACCCCCGCCGGAAGAAACTTGGGGCTCCAGGAGACCCGAGAAGGCTCTAGGAGGCCCAGGAGGAGGAGGAGGAGAAGCAGGCGAAGATAGTTCAGGAGGAGTTCCGATTTCCCCAATGAGGCCCCCGCCAGAAGGTTTGGCACCCATGCCAGAGGAGGCTCCAGAAAGACAGGTGCCCCCGGGAGCCCTGAGCACCCAGCTTCCCTCAGATGGCGGATCTGGTCCTGCGCGCCGGGAGGCCGGTCAGGCACCGAGCGTCGGAGACAGTGCCAGGCTGGAGGCGAGTCCAGCGCCCAGTCAGGCACCCTCCGTTTCTGGCAGCTTCAAGGACCTGAGGCGAAGAATGGAAGCCTCGGAGCTTGCGCAGGTTCGTGTTTTAAGATCTCGTCTCACTCCCGCCGAGGAGGCAATTCAGGACCCTGGAAGAGTGAAGAGGGGCGTTCAGGAGTGGGAAGGAGGTCGAGAAGTGTTTCAGAAGCTGTCGGACGGGTCAGTGGTCGAAAGCATGATGAGGAAAGCAGAAGAGGAGGAGATGAGAGTAGAACCAACCGACTCAGCAGCGGCAGCAGCATCCTCAGCGCCAGCATCAGCCAGCGCGTTGCACTCCAGAGAAGCAGCAGAGGAGGAGGAGGAGAAGGACAGCGAAGACGAGGAGGAAGCTCAGGAGCAGGAGGAGTTGTGGTCCACTTTGCTGTCTTGGGGCGAAGCCCTCTCGGACGGCCATGCATCTTTTGCGAGTTTGCCGGGCGCGTCGAAGACCCCGGCGCCCCAGCGAGGCGCAGAGGTGACACTGAAGCATCTCACGCCTCAACAGAGGCAACTCTTCCTTTTCTCGGATGCGAAGGAATGGCAGGCGACCATCTCCTCCGGAGCCGTGAGAATCGCGCCGGCTGACGAGGCCATGATGATAAGGAGGAGGCATCCCGAAAGGATATTACCCAGTAGGATGGTGAGGATGTTCAAGCCAAAGGAGGGAATAGGAACATAGCCGATTGCCAAAAGCCGTTGGTGCGTCAGA